CTGAAGCAGGCTTCCTTCCCTCCCCCTCCTCCAGCCCCATCTTTTACATCTGTTGTATGTGAAATCCAGCAAACTCTCAGCAGAGCTCATTACTCACGGCCCACTGCTCTGAAGAGGGCCGAAAGGTCCTGCATGTAATGATTTGGAGGTGATTTGTATTTAAGATGCTTGGCTTTCAGATGCTGGGGGAGGAGGAGGAAAATTAAATAATTGAAAGCTGGTGGGGAAGGGATGGAGAGAGCCCCAGACAGAGGGAGAGGACGAGAGTTTCTCGTGATCCAGAAGTATTTGAGTTTACCAGCATCCATTGCACAGATGCTGGGTTAAAATCCAAGAGTGGAGGTGAATCTTCCTTCTGCCGATGCAGGATCAGAGCATGCCCTAGGGATGGTGGAGATGGGTCTGGTTTAGGTGGGACAGAGTAACTCGATGTCCTGGTGGGATGCAGTTGCCTTGGTCACACCAGACTCCCCTCCTTTCTCTGCATTTCCCTCTCACTGCCTCTGGCATGCTTTAAGCAATAAAGTCAATTTGCCAGCCCATATATTTAGGAAGTCTCACTGGTGGTACTGTGTGGCTAGTAAACTCCTGCTGAGAAGGGTGAGCAAGGCTGGAAACGGTGCTGCCTGTGCAGGGCAGGTTTGGTGGCCCTGAGCCATGCAAAGAGCGTGGCTTGCTGATGCAGAATTTGCACTATGAGCCTCATGGGGCAGCTCTCAAGATCTCAAAGCAAATGGAGACTTCATGGTTGTAACCTCTCTTTGTGTGGGGAAACTGAGGCACAAAGGGTGGGAATGAATTGCCCAGGGAAAGAGCAGGTTGAATGTCACTTGTCTGAAAGTTCAGCAAACCGGGGTGTAAAGCTTGGTTTGGTCTAAAACAGCTCCACAGCTTCTTTCAGCCCTTTTTAATTTATTTTTTATTATTATTTTTATTTTATTTTATTTTATTTTTACCAAATTAACAAAAATACCTCTGGTTGATTGCTGCAGCTCTGGTTTTCTAGCTGGGCGCCAGCAGGATTTGCTGGTTCTGGAAACCAAGAGACGCACTGAGGGTCCCTTCTGCACTTGAACTTGAGGCTTCATTCCCAAAGCCTGTCTTTAACCTTGACCCAAACTTGTGCCTTGCTCCGATGCCTTGGGGGGAACCTGTTCCCCACCCTGGCAAACCTGCAGATACGGATATCCTTCCCCGTGCTGTACAAGCTGCCAGCAATCCGCTGGTCCCTGGAGGCGTGCAGATGGCCCATTAGTGCATTAGGGCTGGGGAGGCCACTTTTATTCAAATCCTCCAGCCTCAGATCTGCGAATCAAGTCAGATTAAGCTGCCTGATCCGAAGCTAACGAGTCAGGGAATGAAAGTCAAAAATCAATAGCTTGGGAAGATCTGATGCTTTTACACATGCTGTCCGTGTATTTACTGGCTCCGTACAAGGAGCAGGGAAGTCTGAGGAGCCTCCCCTTAATTCTGATGTTTAACCCATGCAGGTTCTCCCTCGGGTCTGATTTTATCACCCAAGCCACGGGTGTTGGAATTGTAGGGGGGCTATTTTTCGCCTTCATCTCAGAACATTTCTCCAGAAAATACATGCTGGAGCTATATGCCTGGCTCTGATGCAAGCAGGAATGTCCAAGCAAACTACTCCTTAATCTGCTCAGCACCCGAATACCTCAAAAACGCCTTTCCTGCAGATTTTTTTTTTTTTTTTTGGGAGGGGGGGGCAAGGACAAACAGCACATTTGTTCTCCCCGCCATCCCCCGCTCCCAAGGCTGGAGCCGGCTGTGCAGCTGGTGCCCCCCGCGCTGCCCGCGGTGGCTCAGCGGGGGCCGTGTGTCCGTCCCTCCCTCCCCGGCCACGTCCAGCCGTCGGAGCAGGCACTGCCAGATGGCGGGGGGAGGCTTTTCTCTTCGGAGGCTGCGATTTAAAAGCACCCCGGCGATGCCCTCGCGGGCCGCGGGAGGCTTGTTGCTCCCAGCGGTTGGCCAGGCTCCGCTGGGGAGTTCAATGGGGGAGATGCTGGGGTGGTGTTGTTCGGGCCCCGTTGTGGGGATCCCAGCTGGGATCGCGGCTGGGGTGTCTGTGATGGTGCTTGAGCCCTCTGTTGAGGATTAGCAGCTGGGAGATGGCGCTTTGAGAGAGCTGCCAAGTGGGCTCCTGGGCCCCGGCACTGCAGTGGCAGCACCAGGGGGCTGCGCAGCCTGAAGCAGGCCGTGGGTGGCCCTGCGGGTGCCCGCCCTGCCTCAAAGAGAGGGTGCTGGAAAGGAGGAAAGGGGTCTCCAGGTGCTTTTGGAGCAGGCTGGAGGGAGCGGGTGGCTTGCTGGGGACAGCCCTGTGGAGGAGGTGCTGGAGGGCAGGACGGGGACTGCAAGGGGCAGGCCTGGGTAAGGTGGCCTCTACCCCTCTGCTCTTGCTGATGTTTAATCCACCCGCGTTGTGGCAATCAAAATCTCGTGTAGAATTGACCATATCAGACCACCTCCCTCTTGCCAGCTGCCATCAAAACCGTTTAAAGGCTGGGCCTCTCAATTCCACTCCAACCTGGGCTTTGACTGTAAAACCTGAGGCCATGTTTTCTGAGGGAGCAGTTCCCTGTTAGCTTAAACATGGGCTCAGCTCTGAAGTGTTTGGTGCTCAAATATCCTAAAATCCTTGTGGTTGTAGGAGCTTGAGCTGGCTGTCTTAGCAGAAGGTGGTTTGGAGGGTGGTAGCTCCGCAAGCACTGCTTGGTGTGGCCTTTTCTCTGCATCATGGTGTGGGGGAAGTCACAGCTATTTAGGGAAGAGTAAAAGAAAAGTGTATTTAGAAGCAACACTTCTTGATGTTTTTCTGGCTCCCAGCAATGGAACATTTAGGGTATCCCATATCAGCAGGTTAGGTTATTGCCCTGAACTTCTTAGAAAATATCTTAGGTTACGCATAAAAATAAATAAAGACTGGATGTGCCGAGCGTGGCAGCAGTAGAAATACTTTCCTGGGAAACAAAAAATCAATGGTAAACAGTATATTGCAGAGCTACACAAGAACAGCTGGAACGAGCCCTAAATATTTATTATTAATACCAAAGCTGTTTATTTTTGACATATTAAATAGGTCATATCTCATCTAATAAAACCTCTGTGTACAGTGCTGGCTCTGCTGGGCTGGAAAAAGATTTTGCTTTTGAGGTCTGAACAGAGTGAGAATTTGGAGTCCATGTGTTACTAAAAAATAAAAGTAAAGCTTTTGGTGTTATTTGCGGAGGGGCTGGAATTGTCTCCTTCCCCTATGCCTGAGTGGCCTCTTCTGGCATCTCCCAGGACATGATCTAGAAATATGACCCAGAGGTGTGCTCAGAGCAGGGGATGTGGGTCCAAGCCTCAGCTCATCCAGGGATTCCCTGTGTCATGATGGATAAACCACTTAACCTAGACTGGGCTTCAGTCTAGAAATGGGATTGCACCGACCTAGCCTCTGGGACTGTAAAAGTGATGGGGAGGCACGCAGTGACAGCAAGCACTCTTCTCCCCCATTGGAGACATCATTAAGCAAATATCTACAAAGCTTCCCCAGCTTCAGAAGCTGAAAGCTTGAAGCTAGCTGGATGCTTAAGTGCATCAGGACCTAATTGCTGCCAACTCTAAGTGTTTGGGGGGGAAGAAGTGTTGTCCAAAGCCCCCTGCATTTTAAAATCCCCATCCAATGGCATTAACCCCACATCAATCTACTTAAGTCTTCTAGGAGTTCAGGAAAGCTGGGTATCTTCTTTGAATTTCTTTCCAAATGCAGTAAAGCCTCTGTTCCTAACCTCACACAATGACACTGAGCTGGAGAGTAAGCACCCATATCCACCCTTCCTGCCTCAGTTTCCTCACCTTCTGAATGACACGTAGCCCACCCGGGCTCTCCTTTTGTCCTGAGGAATTTCGATGTGTTCCAAGAGTCACATATAACATTGCATTAGCAATCCTGGGCCTTGTGAGAGTCCAACATTAGACATGCAGGAGAGCAGAGCTGGGGACCATAAGGGACATGAGCATGATATAGGGGTTTGAACAAGTCTTATAGGGTGGTGATTCTGTGTTTCGTTCACTGCCTTCAGACAGGTGGTGGGTGTTTCAGAAAGCTGTTTCCAATAGAACTGGTATATTCATGTTGATATATTTGCTGTTGAGCAAATCTGCCCCCGTTGTATCCCTGTGAATGCCTCAGCTTCTCGGAGGTCTGTCTGGTGCCTTGTGGTGCCATGGTGGGTTTTCAGTTGGTCCAGTTTGTACCCAAAGTCAGGCTACACAATCTTGGCACTCCTAATGGCCTGGCCTGGCTTCGTGCACATGGGGTGGGCCAAACCAGGGACTGCGCCTGCTCCCATTCGCAAGACAGACTCAACCATCCCGTTCAGCAGAGGCCAAGAATGAGGTGGGTGCCACCAAGCACAGCACCAGGGCAGGGGCTGACCCTGGGTTTGTTTTGTGGCACAGGTATATTATGAAATTAGAAGTTGGAAATCACATTGCTCCCACAGAGTGTTGCGGTGGAACTTGCACGATCCCCCGATAAATCATCAAACCCATCCCACAGGTGTGTGTGGGTTGGTGGAAAGCAAAAAAAAAAAAAAGTGTTTCTGATGTCCAGATTTGACCTCTGGCTCCTTGGCTTTGGCCAACATGTGCAAATTCATCCCTACTGGTGGGTAGCTCCAGCACTAGGGCTGGGCTCTTTTCAATGCACTGCGTACATACCATTCACCAGCTATTTACATTGGATGTGTTGCCCCACTGTACATTAACATTTAAAACAAAATCGTCAGCCCCATCACGAGCATCGCTCTGAGGGATGGCAGCGCATCGTAGACATCGTGTAAGTAATTTGTTCAACATTGGTGATAATAAGCTACGTGGAGCAATAAGAACATAAACACAGGGCTTTGTGTGAGCGTGTGTGTTTATTTTTTTATCCCTTTTTCTTCTTTTTCTTTCTTTTTTTTTTTTTTTTTTTTTTGAAAGGAACCTCTGAGGGGAAAAAAAAATGCCATGAATGATTCATAGATGCAAGGGGGGAAAAAGACGAAGAGAGAGAGGGAGAGAAAGAGAGATTAAGAGAGAGGAGCTTCAAAGTGACTGGAGCCGATTTGAAGTCCTGAGCGTTCCTGTGCTGGGCAGGCCAGCAATTCACCAGAGAGACCCCGTCAAGCTCCCCCCATCCTCCGCCCCGGCCTCATCCCTGCTGCCGCTGCCTCCACCGCCAACGCAGCCTCCCAGTTGCAGGTTCAAAGTTCAGCAGCATCTAATGATGGGAAGGCCTCCCAGACCCTCTGTGAGTGGCATCTGTTTATAGGCACGGCCCTTCCCTGGTGGTTTTAGCTGGGCTTAAAAAAATATATAAATAAAATAAAAAAAAAAAAAGAGGAGGAGGAAGAGTGGAATGAGATGCAGGGCTCCTTTTTAAAAATAAAAAAGTATAAAAAAATCTACTGGTGGTGAAGTGCCTTTGATTCTGAATATTAAAAAAGCCCATTAGATTTAAATGTAGTGAGAATATTAACGCTACTGCCTTGATTTGTATTCACCGGCTGCCACGGGTACACTTGGGGAGTGCAAAAGAAAAACACGCCTCATGCCTGGGTGGGATGCTGGCTCTCTCGGCAGGGAGCAGCCAGGGTGACGGAGGGATGGAAAGGATGGAAGGACAGATTGTCCCCCCTTCATCTTGTGTTCCTGGTCATCAGAGGGATGGGGACTTCCAAAGGCATCTCTGTGCTGGCAAAACCCTTGGCTTCACCACCAGCAGGGTTAAAACTCATTATTCTTTTGCAGGGAAATTCAGGCATTTCAAGACCTGGTTTGCAGTGCCCCATAAGGGAAATAAAGGATTATCCTTTTCCAGGGAATCCAAGTCTCGAAACAATTTTTCCCCTATTTTATTTGATGTGTTGTTAAATTTTTGCTCTTTCAATTTAATGATGTAATTGGATTAAATGTATGGGATATCATGGCAGATCTGCAGAAGAAATTAGTGATGTCTAGGACAAATTCTGCAAGACCTGTTATTGGTTATGTGTCACAAAATAAATGACACGATAATGAGTGGCTAATACTCTAATTAAGATTACATGCTGACTTTATTTTATTAATCAAAGGCAGTAACACTCACTGGCCTAATGAAACAGTTTGATGTTTTAATACTTCCAAAAGAGAAAAAGAGATAAGGGCTCAGTACTAATTAGAGTAGCAGCTGATTTTAGGAGAAAAAAAATAATCTGATATTGTTGCCTGGCTAAAATAAGGGCATCAAACACTGCAAATATTCACATTTACAAAATGAACAAAAACTAAAACCATAAGCTTTAAAATGTTAAAAATAGAAGAAATAATAGTTGGCCACCCTGTCATATTTATAATATGTCATGACATATCATTAGTGCTAACGAGTAGTGAGACATGAAGCACTCCAACAGAAACATAAAGAAATCATACTGAACAAATAATGCTGCCCCAAGTAGTAGACTATAATTAATACTTAATTTCACAGTGGAATTTTAGGAATTGCCAAATTATTTTTCAGGAATTCAAATACTGTAAATACAATGGAAATCAAAATCAAATGGTTTGGCAAAAATGATTTGGCTTTATTATTTTTTTTTTTTCAGAAGGAAAGCTTCAGTGCTGAGCTTTTCTAGGAGCCCACATCCTAGCAGACATCTGAACAGGTATTGAAACCTCTAATAAATAGGTGCACAGTAAGGGCTTGATGTCTATTTTAACAAGTGATGTGTCCATCGCTTCTTGACACGAGGTCTCTTAAGCCTTCCAAAGACTACCCATGACCAAAACTTTGCTCTCTGCTATTTTCCAGATCAATCCAGATTGGAGGAATAAATGGGGGCTTCTTGACTTCTGACTGACCTTTGGCTTGAACTAAGTGCTGCTTTCCTCTGCTGAAGAGCTGCAACCTGAGAACATGTGAGTTATGTTTTCACACCACAGATATCTCCATCATGCTTTCAAGAGCAGTGAGTGAAGGAGTTATGGGTATCTGGAACTCCTCGGCTATGCACAACATCTCCATACAGATAGCCCATTGCTTAGCTTGTCCATGGCAGCAGAAGTAGCAGAAAGGCTATAAACTGGACAGCCACACAATGAGTGTTCCTTGCTGAGAAGCTGTGGAAGTTGGTAGCTATCAACTCTCAAAAAAAGCGAAGAAAAAACACGTTGGAGTTGGCTCAAAGCAGTTGAGGTCAACATAATTTTAAAGCAGCAGCAAACATTGACTTGGACAAGCCCAGGTTTCCATTCACAGTTCTTAAATCAGTCTCAGCATACAGGCAGGTTGCAAAGTAAGGAATAAATACATCATCAGCTTGAGGTCTGGGTATTCCAAGACACATTAACTGTGAAGTCCTGGTGAGTCTCTTATCTCAGACTTCTCTTGTTGAGTTCTTGGCATGTTGGAGCTTGACAATTGCTTTCTTTGCCTGCCTGGTTGCGAGCTTCATCCAGCCTGCCTGCTGGACTTGCTGTGAGACCCTCAGCCACTCAGAGTGGTAGCTCAATTCAGGCAGGTGATGAGTTACCTTGACATCAGAAAATCAGGGCTGTGAGATCTTAGCACCCTGGATGGTCAGCAGGGAGTAGTTAGGGCTGAAGTCTGATCATCTGCTGAAGGTTACCGACCATTGGTGTTGTGTCTGGATTTCTGTGCTAACTGTATAGCAGATATGGACAGCAAATGGTCTGACACATCCCTGGTCCTCAAACCAAAAAGTTCAAGGAGGCGGACCAAGGATAACCCTTCTCCAGTTGTGTTAGAAGTCCCTTGAAAATTGCTTCTCCAAGTGATAAATAATGCATAAGAACTGGTGTAAAGCTGTTTGAATTACCTCCCAACTTCTTTTCTTCCTACCAAAGTTTGAGCTGAATTTGCAGCTTTTTAGTGAAGGCTACTGAAGTTACTGAAGTGGTTGAACTCATTGATGCTTGTGCTAGCAGAGTCTAGGTGGGTGTGTTGCCACTATGGATTGTAATGTGATTTCCCCCAGAGGAAAATTCCCGTTGCAATGCACAGACACACAAGGAAGCACAATTAACTTCTCTGGAGGAGCCTTAAGCCAGCTTTCCTTGAGTGTTGTGTAATTAAAACCTCAGCCTTGTTAATACATTAGTGAGATGTTTGCATATAATTCATCAAATGTTTATGAAAATGCGTAACAAATAATCCTGACAAACAAGTTGCTTAATTGAGATAAGGGATGGGAAGCCTTGTGAATTTTTAATAAAAAGGGAAAGAAAGCACACTATGTTAATCAGATGAAGTTATCTCATTCAATATTTTCAAGTGACTTCTCTAGCGCACATTTTATTTAATATATTACACAAAAGGAATAACTTGATCCCCTGATGAGATCTGCATAGAAAAACCTCTCTTGCAACAAACATATCATTGGCTTAAGGCATTCCCCCAGCTATTGATCAAAATCTTATTTTTTGTTCTTGTCAGAGAACAGCATTAAAACCTGCCTGAGATTTGCACTCTCTCTAACTGAAAGAGGAACAACTAATTCCTGGCTGATGCCTGAGTATTTTTCTCCAAGTACGTAGTTAACTCTGTCATATAGAATCAGTGATGACATTAATTCACACACCCTGGTAGCTAATTTAGCTTTGGAGAAAGGAAGGGGAGAGCTCAGACTTAAAAGCTTCTCACCCACTGGTTTCAGTGAGGTATCCCACCACAACCATATTCTCCATGGCCAACACCCTCTCCACTTTGCTCTTTCCTATTACGCTGTTTGGTTAATTAGCACAACAAAGTTTAATAAGGCACAGTTGGTTTTGGCCTCAAATTTGCCTGATAATTCCTGTTTCTCTTTCAGGCTTGAAAAAGCTCTTTTGAGTTTCAAAGTCTCCTTGTCTTGTCCAAGGGTGTCAGAATCCTTGTTCCTGAAAGTTTGCTATGGCCTGGAGGAAGAGGATGTGAATCTGTAGCTATTGCAGCACCAGCATAAGAAGTCTCTGCCTGCCAGGTAGAAGCCAACATGCACCATTGGGAGAGAGAGTCTGGACCCAGGTCAGCTTGTTTTGTTTTCCCCACCTCATCATAACCATACTGGGTTATTTGTATATTTAAATATAAAAATATTATAATATTATATATATATTTAAATATGGATATTTAGACCTGAATTTAGTGGGTGAAGGTAATGGTTCAAAAGGTCACCCTGAATTTTCTAAATACTGATTTAGTTTCAGTTTTAAAAGCAATATAACACTAGACAGAAAGGAGAGTAAGGCTTGGAAATGGAGGAAGGAGCAGAACAGGACAAAAATATATGGAAAAGAAGGGTTTGGGCAGCAAGAGACAGAACTACAGCTGGTGTGAGTAAAGGTGAGGGCAGATGAAGGGTCAGACCTGTGGTAGTTGGGTTCAGCCAAGGAACTGGGACCTCACACAGACCAGTCCCTTTATTCGAGCAGCAGTGTCAAGCCTTGATGACACACCACTGTGTCTTCAGTGTTAAGCTAAACTGCAGATGTTGCTCCTTCTGGAATGGTGTGGATGCTGGAGAGAGATAAAAGCTTCCTGACTCACCTCTTATGCAGGTTTCCCACTCACCTGTTAAAACCCACCTCAAATCAGCAATTTTCCCTACCTTTCTCCCCTAAGATCTGCACACTGAGCCACCAAGTCTGGATTCGAGCACCAGCACGAGGTCATCTTTCAGTCACCTTTGGTTTCCCTGGTGGACCCTTGTATCTCCTCCTGGTTCCTGCCATCTGCCCAGCTGCTTGCAGCCACCCCGTGGTGCTGCACACCATGTGGGCTCTTCTGCTGGTGGCCAGAAACAGGGAAGGAGATGCTGCAGTTAGGAGCTCGAGGTGAAAATTGCTCAGGCCCAATGAAGCTCACCCTGGCACGTTGGATTGCGCTCCCAAAGTACTCAGAGCAAGCCAGTGATGAAGAAACATAGACTACGTAGTTTAAAAAGCTCCCAGCCCAGAGTCAGCATTTCTGCCCTGACCTGCCTCATGAATTATTTAGCACGGGACTTGTTGATGCGCACTTATATTTTTTTCCCAGTGGAGTTGATGATCTTCCTTCCCCTTAACAGCCTCGCCGCTCTCTCCCCGCACAGACGCCACGCTCGGTGGGCTGAGGATGGACCAGGGCTGGGCTGGTGCTCACCACGGGGGAGCTAAGGGTGCCTGGCGAGAGGATGGGCATCGTGGCCATAGCTGGCGCTGCAATGGCAGGGCAACGAGATGGGGGACAGGGATGGGAGAGGGGTCCACGGGAGAAAGAAAAGTGGGAGAAGTGCAGTTGGAAGTGAGTGGTGTTAATGAAATATTCAGCAGTGGTGGGCCTAGACGCATTGCCGAAATTGCAGAAGCAGAGATGATTAATATTTAACAGGGTAAGCTGCCACTTGGCTGCTTTCTGCACAGAGATTCCACCCCCACGTACACACACACCGCCTTCGTCCTGCTTCCCACCCTCCTCTGACTCCCCCAAACTCCTGCCTCTGCCACTCTTCGCTGGCTCAAGCCAATGACTCCCACCACTGTGCTCGGCTTGGGGGAGGTTCTCCGGCCCCTCCATGAGCTCTACCCAGGGGAGATCAAGTCCAAGGGCTGCCTGGTGGGAGAAGTGCCAGGACGGGGGGGGAAGGTAGTCTGGAGAAAGCACATCATTTATTTTTCATGTGGATGGGAGAGCAGGTTGTCCTATTTAGTCACATTAGATGCTCTGTTAACACAACAGGAAGAAAAAAAAAAAAGAAAAAAAAAAAAGAAAGGATGAATAAATGCTTGCAGCTGAAGGAGGCAGCTCTCTGGTTCTCTGGGAAAACAGGAACCGGTCTTTCAGGGGGTTAAGTGTTTTGGCTCCAGCGGAGTCTCCCTTGGGGTGACCCATGTAGGTGATGGACAGCTAAGAAATCAGGGAGTGCACGAGGCTCTTCATCAGCTGGTTTGGTGCAGGAGGAATGGCTCCAGGTGTGGACAGATATTTGGTACATGTCCACCCACCGCCTCTGTGGAGTCCTTGCAGATGGGAAGCTCTCCCCATGAACATCCACACAGCTTCCTCCTGGTCCTTTTGCAACACCCCCCTCCAAACTCTATGCTCAGACACTTTCTCAGGAGATGTGACAGTGGTTGCACTGTTAGTGTGCTGACCAAGATGTCCCCACAGGGTTGAGCTTTTTTAAAATCAGTCTCCTTCCATCTGCTGCCTTTTCTTGTGCATTTAGGTGGATGCTCTTTGATCTAGGAGTCATCTCTGTGCTCAGGATTTGTGATGCCCTGGGTACAGAGAAGTCTTAGCCCGTTTGTGCAACCTCAAGGCTGTAAATCATCACAAATAAATTACAAGAATATGTGAGGTCCGGCTACCCACTGGAATCACTAATATGAAAATGACCTAGAGGTGCATCTGAGGGTGCATCAGGGACTTGAAAAGAGGAGACAAACCCGAGCCTGTACAGATGATATTTCTGTGAGCAGGTTTGTGCCCCACCATATGGGCTTTGAAGATGTACTTGGTGAGTGAGCATGAGCCTATCATGGTAAGTACATGTAAGCCTATCACAGTAAGTACACTGTATACAAATTATGGCTACCTAGGGGCAAGGCAAGTTGTGGCAAAGCTGGTCTAATCCAGCCCTGTCCACGGAGCCAGGGGGGTCACATCCCACTGCTAAGGAAACCAGGAGGTTTCAGTGCGCTTTGTAAAGCGGACAAAAAATAAACTGAGGGCAGTGAAGGAAAATCACTGTAAATCTTTCTTTCTCCCCACATCTTGGTCTATATTTGAAATGCTAGGAACATTGAAACACCAGCTTGAAGCCTTCTGCTTGGCTTCAGTTTCTGGACCAGTTTTCAGGTGTTTAAGCTAATTAAGCATCATCATCTAGTCCATTGCCTTCACCCTTGCAGCTCAAGGCAGAGCTGCCTTATCCTGGAGGAGCTCTGTGAAATGACTGTCTTTTTCCAGCCTGCATGTCAGGATGTGACCCAAAGGAGAGCACAGGAGGTGCCCTGAGGATCCAGCTAGAAGGCTACAAAAAATGGAAGCACCTTCTACAGGCGGTTTGTGTCTTAGAGGGACCGAATCAACTGCCAGTCAGAAAGGAAACCTCAGGCACCATGCGTCCTCAATTAAGTAGATAACTTAGAGCAGGAGGAGGCAGGGCTGTTGAGGATGTAGGATATGAGGGCCATTTGCTTGCAGAGTCTGTCCGTGCCCCTTCCCCATGACTCTCTGCACAGTTTGGCTGGAGGAATGCCTTCTGCAGCTGGGTGTGCATTGCCAAAGCTGGATGTCCTTCGTGCCATGGCTGCAGCCCACCCATCCCTTCCCCTGCCACATCACGACAAGGGTTAATCTGGACAGATGTAGAATGTGAAAACTGGACATGGGTAAGAGCTGGACCATCTGTGGCAGGAGGAGGAACCCCTGTCGAAAGTCCCAGAACTAGCGAGAACAGACGAGTTGATTTCTATTGTGTAAGTGGGGATTTGTCCGCGATGGTATAGTAACAACTAGAATTAGAAAGGAATAAAGAGTGAATTCTTCCTCTTCCCAAGTGTGTTCCCTCCAGGGCAAAGGTCAAGTGCATTGTGTGGCCGTGTTTGGATTCAGAATAAAATAAGTGACAAGGGCGAAAACCTGGGGCATGCACAGGGACTGAATAAAGAGGAGTGTGAGCTAGGCACCAGAAACCACTTTCTCACCCTAGGGGTCATTAACATGTGCAATTGGTGACCTCGTGACATGGTACGGGGGCAACAGAGACACTAATGTGAGTCATTTATATGCTGGCTTGAGTGTATTCAGCTATTGATAACAGTGTATTTCTGAGCATAGTGACCAGCTCTTTTGGTAAAATGGAGATGGGCCGATTTGCTCGTGCAGTTTGCTAGCAGTTACCTCTCAGCTTTCTTCTCTATTTTTCCACAGGAAAAAGAAAAAAAGTCTGCTGGTGTCTGTCTGCAGATTGTCTCCCTGTCCTATATGGATTCCATTGGCAGAGCCCACTCAGCATTTCCTGGAATAAATGCTCTTGTGAAGGAAAAGGGTTCGGCATAAAGCATGAAACATTGGTGGAGATGAGATTTGTCCAGAGATTTTTTAGAGGAAGAACAGTCCTGACCTAATGAAATTATGCAAATATGTTGGAGAGTAGTCTTCATTTATCTGGTGGCTCACCTATTCTTTGGTGTCCTTCCAGGACAAAGCACTTGCCCTACGTGTACCTTGAGTATTAATACAAGTGTTCTCCTCCCCTTGCTAATGAGATGCCAGACTGGAGGAGGAAGCTCTCTTGTGATGGTGAGTTCAAGAACAAATGTCTTCTGTCCTGTCCTGAGTCTTAGAGCTTAGAGTGAATTTCACTACCACAAAACATAGCGAAAGAACTTCTCTAGTACCATGTTGTGGCTTCAGGCTCAGCTATAAAGAGTTCCTTAGATTATTGACTGATCTCATTTATTTATTTATTAGTCTAGGGCTCCTTTGAGGTCCTACCATCTTTCTCAACTGAATTTCAGATAATCTTTCTTAGAGCTTAGGCTCTTTGGAGCTGGCCAGTTGTAAAGATAGGTTTGAGCTGTGGACTCAAGTCTGAAGCTGGATCTGGGCTTGGAATTTTGGTTCTGAGGTATTCCATCCTGTGATGCAGATGTTCTCAGAAAGCTTGGAATGTTCGTGGGAGATTTACCTTCAAAGTAGTGGAAATATTATAGCAGTAAATGATGTAAGATAGCTTCACCCGTTTCCTCCAAAGCCCTGTGAATAGTACATCTCAGGACAGTTGAGTCTGCATCTAAAAAGACAAAACTCTGCCCAGCAGTTTCATCTCTGACAGTTATGATAGAAATGCAGCCCCAAAGGGATGCTGTATGGCTGGTTCTTTGCCCTGTTATAAGATTTTTGTCACGGTACATTGAAGAAGACTTCTTGGAGGTCTTGATAGAAACCACGGGGAAAGGCTAACAAGAACTGCCGTATTAACTCCCCTGGCCACTGCAAAGGTGCTGCAGGGTGAAACGTTTGGAAACAATTAATGTGCTCTTATACCAACATGACCTTTGAGAGTGCCAGGCATCTTCTGTGGGGCCTGTAACTCAAGCATTAATAATGGATTACCAAAATCAACCAGCTGCAAGGGAACCACTTCTCCCTGCTTAGATAATTCTCCTCCCGGAGAAGAGCTATTGATTTTGATACTGATTCCTTCCTCCCCAGTGGAAGGGTTACACCCCACCATCACTGTCTGTGACAGCGAACTCTCTCCTGATCTGCACACACCATGCACGTCAGCCACGTTGCTCTGCACCAGCGACAGAGACAGCCCTCCTGTACAACTGAGACTGCTGTGAAAAGCGGTGTGCACTCTTCTTTTCCCACCAGGTGATTCAGTCAGCTTTGCTGTTCAGCTGTGCTTTCTCACCAGTCTGCAGCAGGAAACATCTCTGAGCACTGGGAAGCTGGTTAGACCCACACTGACATTGCATTTGCATCCATATCATAAGGGATATGGATGAAAATCAGCTTGGATCTACCTTGTGCAAGCTGGCTTGTGCAAACACCTTCACACATATGTGCCCTTGCTTCACTATCTTCATCCCTTCTGCTCTACTAAGTCCACCTTTGTGTTTTGCCACTGGTGTTGGACAAGGTCCTGGGCAAGCTGCTCTAGGTGGCCCTGCCTGAGCTGGGCAATCGAAGCAGAGGACTTCCAGAGGTCCCTTCCAGCCTCAGCCATTCTGCGATGCTGTTTCACTTGCTGGAGCTGAGATGCAGCTCAGGGTACCAGCATCTTTATGCCCTGCTTGAGCTGCAGTCCCTGGTGGGCTGGAGGTAGGGAGAGGACCATGCTTTGAGCTCGTTCACAGTAAGGAAGCTTTAATTTCATGGGAATAGAATAGAATCCATAGAATTCCATAGAATGGAAAATTTGTTTCTAATTGGTTTTGGGACAGCCTGAAAAATGAATCATTTGCAAGTTTGTGTTAGTTGTAAATAGACCACTTATTTTATTTCTTTTTCCAAAGGGGAAAGTGAAGCACATCTGCCACCCGCATTTCCCCACAGTGACATTTGAACTCGTTGGCCAGCTCCAACCACATTTAACTGTGGTTGGTAAATGTGGTCTGAAAGACATGCTGAAATAAAGCAATCGGATGTGCACCAAAACCCTCCTAACAGCCTGAGATAAGGCAAGCCTGCGGCACACGTTCAACCTTAATGAGACACCGGAGAAGCCACCTGGGAGAAGAAAGCTACTTGGAAAGCCCTGGGTGTGGGACAGCATCTAGTCTGAGTTCACACTGCCCCAGACATCAGAGAATCCAACTACAAGAGGCGAACCTGTGGGGAATTGGGCTTCATTAGTCCCTCTGCTTGCGGAGTAACATGTTTTCGTGGAGCATCTTTCATCTCTTTTCAGGCACGAGCGCCGGAAACAAAGGGCTGGATTCATGAGAGGGCTTAGGGTGCTGCTACAAAATGGTGGGAGCAAGGGTCCTCTTCTGCCTGTCAGCATGCTGGAAGCCAACAGGGACGGGATCTGAGTCATGGTTACGTGGATGGGTGCTGAGCCCCCAGGCTAGGTGAGGGAGGTGACACTCAGAGCGGTTGGGAAGGGGCGTCTTGTGAATCTAGGCTGAGAAATATGAGCCTTGTTTTACTCTGCAAATGCTGCAGTGAGACATTTGGATAGGATGAATCATCTTCCCGAGAAGACGGAGCCGAAACGAATAGCTGAAACACCTCCGTGTTGCAGGTAGGAAGGAAACCCTGGAATTTGCTAGCTTAGGGAATAAAAATTATGTCCTTAAAACACAAACCAACAACAGTATTGCAAAACCAAACCAAACAACAACAACAAAATGCAATGATCCTATCTGCTACAGCAATCTGCAGACTGCTTGCTTCCTGGTAGTCCTGTCCTCCATGGGTTTGTCTTAAGATGAAAAACCAGCTGTCCTGAAGTTCACTGTGAGGTTGCGTTATGAAGTTACTGTAAAAAGGCCATAAAGCAGCAAAACTGTGGCCCTAAATCCCAGAATCTGCAAAAACTGCTTTTAACCAGCTCCTGTCCCTCTACCAAAGTGCCATGTAAAAACCTGTAGTCTCGAGCTCCTGGCTTGCCCCAAGCCTGGTGCCTCAGCACGTAGCAGCAGGATGTGATCCGCAGGCAGCCAGCTGATATCTGAAATCCTTGCTCAGAGTCAGATGGCAAGATGGGAATCCAATCATTTTATACCGGTCAGCAAGTGAGCGTTGCTGAGCATATGGGTTAGTCAATAATCAGCTTTAATTAAGTAAAAGTTATTTCATTAATATCTTTTTAAGTGGATACTCTACAAAATCTGCCTGGGGGAAATCTCAGGGTTAGGAAAGCTTTACGGTATATATTGTTGCAATATAAGTGAATAAGGCTGAGATACCATCAGGAGGAGCACAGGAGATAAAAAAAGCAGCGAGGACCCAGCTTCATTAGCTGCTCTGAACTGGAAGGAACAAAAGTATTAGCTTAACCCAAACCTAAGTCAAAAAGATTATATTTATTTATATATATATATATTTTTTTTGTTAATATTGTTTTTTTTTGAAGGCAAAAGTGCAGCCTGTGGAAACCTTATAGCTAAAGCAGACACTGATTATATCTGTTATCCATCTCATCTCCCTCAGTGAGTTCTGCAGATGCTTGAAACACAGCTGAACCGTGCCATTCCCACCAAGCTCCACACCCAAAATGTGTTGTCCCACCCATGAGCTCCACCATGGTCTGTGGGCTGAGCAAGGTGTTTTCTGGGTGTCCCCTTTGGGTGCAGGGCATGGTGAGGGTGGCTTTTGCTCTGGGACATGAAGCTGTGCATCCCTTGCTGCCCAGAGCTCTGCAGTCAGCCCTTCTCCTGGATTGGCACGGAGGGACCTGTGCTTGCTGCCACACTCTGGCTGCCACTTTCTGGATGCTGCCACACTCAGGAGCCTCAGGAATTCAGCTGCAAAAACTGGGTGGCCTTCATGACCCTTTATTTTGAAAGGAATTTAAATCGTCCAGTTTGGTTTCCTTTTCCGTTTTGTAATCTGGCTGCTCCTGTCCTGAGCCAGTCCTGATGATGACCTTTAGGGCGGTTTGACTTGGGGAAGAATAAAACCCCCAACCAACCTCTGATTGTTCTTATTACTCTCCCCGTCCCACCTCAGTTGCTTTGGCTTTGAAACTATGAGCAACAAAACTGTTATTTTTACCTAGACATGGAAGCATCCAGGTTTCTCTGAGCTGGGACATGATCACCACACTGGAGCTCCACCATTTGAAGCATCAGGACTGCACTCCCAGGCCCTGCTGTCGTGCTTTGGAGAGAATCGAGCTGGTAAATTCCTTTTCTTCTGGCTCAAGATGAAATCTCATCTTGTCAAATCTTGGATATAGTCAAATACCAACAAGCTGGCTTGTGCTCCTGGGTGCCAGCATGAAGCCAGCCAGCAAGTGCCATCAAATCACGCATCTCTCATCCTTCTTGGTGTTTCATCAGTGGCATTTTTGGTCCACTGCCACTAGAAGCAGAATGGACGTGGTGGCTTCTCCAGCTGAAAAGCCCAGCACTGGAAGGAGGGGCACTGCCCCCAGACTGAGCACACTGCACAGGAAGGTGCAGAGGACTTGTCTGTGTATTTCTGTGAGCGATGTGTTTTGGTTTCAGTCTCTATTTCTCCTCAGATCCAAGTGGCAAAGGCTGCCACTCACCCCAATTCACATTACCCTAAATAACTGAAATTTTCACTTCAACCCTTTTGTTTAGTTCAATCTTAAAAATATGAGCTAACCAAAGCAGGATTCTTTTATTCCCAAGTGAGACTTTGCATACAGCAAAATAAGGAAGTGTGACTAATAATATAATCAATTACCGGGGCAAATCTCTGCACCACCCAAGGGTCCCCATGGCAGTAGACCTTCCCTGCTCTCGAGGCGGTGCCATAGGGAGAGTTCTGCCTTTTCATGGCTTTGTGGTGGTGTGGACATAGCCTTTGGGATTTTATCAATGAAGGACCAGTTTCACTGCATATTATGGATTAAGGAATATGCTATTTATGGAAAATGTGCTTCAGGCAAACACAAACAGTTGAACTCAGGTCTGGATTGACCAGAAGAACCCCATACAGTTGTAGAAAAGACTGAACCTTCCTAGTTTTAGCCACATGACAATCACAATGCAGCTTTTCTTTCATCATTTTTTGTACCCTAAGACCCGTCACATCTGACAGTTCCTTGTGCCAAGGCTGGAAATCAGCGTCCCAGTCATCTGCCTGCAGTCCCAGCCCTTGCACTGGAAAACACAGCGGGGTGGTAAATGATTTGGCCAAGCCCCATGTCAGGACATGCCAGGTTTGGTGTAGCCTGTGCTGGTTTTCACCCCTCTTTTTCCTGGCGCTGCAAAGGAAGATGAAGCAGCTGGCTGACCTCACCCTTTGGAGTGCTCCTGCAGATCCTTGCCCCACCGAGGATCCCACAGAAAACCTCGGTGGGCCCCTCCACACTCCCACATTAGGCAAAGGTAGGAGCCAACGTCCTGGCTCGAGCAGGAGCAATCCTACAGCCACCGATGCCCTCTCCTGCCACCCCTGTCCGGGGCTGACCTGGCCCCCACAGCAGTGACCACCTCTTCTGTTGAAAGCAGCTGGATTTCGGCGTGCTCCTGTAAGGAAAAGGAAACCTTTTTTTTCTTGCCTCTTCTTCTCCTCCTGCATTTTGATGGGGCTCGAGATCTCTCGGAGGAAGACGCTCTTCCCTTTTTATCAATTAGGAGCACACACGCGCGCTCTCTCGCTCTCTCTCCCACCCCTACTCTGCTTTCCTCCCAGCTCCCCTTGGCTGCCGGTTTCAGACAAAGATGTGTGAGTTCTTTGATCTGCCTGGCAGCCACCGCTGGGGGATTGGCTTGGAGGTTAATTACACACAGGCCGTCTCCAGCTGTGGCAGGGAGCCGTTCGGCTGGAGAGGGAGCTGTCCCATCTCCCCCCCAGCTACAAACTTCAAGGGGACAGGAGGGCATGGAAGGTACCACTGAAACCCCTTTTGATATGACAAACGGGCTCCTTGCTTGCCTCTCTGGTTCTTGTTTTGTTTGTCTAACTGGTACTTGAAATATGGATGAGCTCTCGGTCCTGAGGGCCCAGCCACTGGCTGAAAACCTTGCCTGCTTTCCCCACCCCAGCTGGAGCTTTGCTCCCCTGTCTGTCCGTCTTTGCCTGTCCGCGTGTCCTTGTCCAGCATGCCCATGGCTCAGCCCAGCTCACAAAGCCAGGACCCCATGTTCGTGGTGGAAATGGGGTTTCAGACGAGGCTGACTGCTGCAGGAGAGAGGTAAGAGCTGAGGGCTGGCACCCAGCAGGTTTGTGTTCGGTCCTTCTGGCTGTGGCTGACATGCTCTGTGATTAGCTGCTGGTCTTTTCCTTCCTTAAAGCCACGTAAATCCCTCTGTGCCTCAGTTTCCCGATCTTCATAATGAAGGCAAGCAGCATTTATCCACTCCTCGGGGTTGGATTGAGGCTGATTGATTTGCTTGTCCAGCATCCCAGACTAAGCAGTGTGGCAGAAGAGAGCTGTTGATGTAATCCCTTCTGCATTAGCCAAATCCTTCCCAAAAGGAGCTAACGCAGATGCTTCAGGGCAGGGTGTGGCTGGACTTTAGATGTTCTTCAGTGACTCCAAGGCACCTCCACTGGTTTCTGGGCTCCCCCCACGATATCTGAGTGTGGGGCTGGAGTCCACATGCAATGAGATCAAAAGCTGGCACTGGCCTGCATCCTCAAGGGCATCCCAAAACCTAGAGTGCACCCATCCAGGACTGCAGCCCCCTGCTTGGACCTGCACCCTCTTCCATTCCAGATTTAAGGCAAGATCCAATGCAGTGATTGTTCTGTGCTGAAGGCCTTTCACAGGTTTGTAATGAATAGGGATGCTGATAACGCCTTACAAAACGCTCCTTCTCCCTGGGAGACGGCCGGGACTGATGCTCTGAGGCTGCTCCAGGGACACCAGGTTCTAGAAACGAGACTGGTGGGAAGAGACGGGCTTCCAGCTGCAGGCAGGGCAGGAGATGGCATCCGTCAGCCTCAGGTGGCACCCAGAGATGATGACAGTGGGGACACGTGGGTGAATCAGGGAACACCACTCTGCCCTCACCCCTAGCAAAGAACAAATCCTAGCGAAGTACCAGACAAGAGCGCTTACTAACACTGAATTAACACCAGTTTTCCACCTTTCTCCTGTTCCTTTGTGAGGGCAGGGAGGATTTTCACATTTCTCACCACGTAGTTTGTCTTCTGGGTGGCTATTCCATGTCTTGCTGGAAACATTTAATGTCTAAGGGTTCCTTGGCAGAGTGGAGATCCCAAAATCACAGCGGGCAGAGGGGTGGGGGGCTGTGTAAGAAACACCAGCTTGTGTCTGGCCCCAGGGCAATTGCGATGCTCTCAGTTTCCCTTGATCTCCTCCTGGAACATATGAATTTGGGGAGCTGAACTATGCCATGCTGGGTGTCACGCTCCAGCCCTGGTGTGCTGGGGACTGCCCTAGGTGCAAAACCACCCCAGCCACCGTCCCCACAGACACGTGCACGCAGAAATGAAGCTCAGCTGGGAAGACTGAGCAGTGGGTGGACAAACTCTGCTCTGTGACACCCTTTCTCCCCAACACACAAAGGACTTGGATACCCAAGGCATGGTTTGACCTCATGTGTTAAATCTAGGAGGTGCCACTTCCTCTGCAAATCTCCGGCACCTTCTGCAGCCCAACCAAGCTGTCCAGCAAAGCTCACTACAAAAATCATGCATCCTTGGCTTGCCAACCTTCCCTAGCTGAGGTGTCATTCATTACAGAAGACAAGCTGATGGTTAAGGAAGGAGTACAAGATGTGGTGTGTCCTCCCCTGCTTTCCAACCCAGCTTTGGGTTGCTCTGCTTGCTGCTGTAACAAGGGGGCTGTGCCAGAAGAAGCAGCGAGGGCTGTGGCTGGACAATCTCCTTCCACCCAGGCTTCAAAAGAGCAACAAGTGACCCTGAGCAGACACTCTGGGTCCTCATTGCTGCCAGAAAAAGGCAGCAGGATCCCAAAGTCAAGCTGTTTTCTGTGGGTGATCGACTCACAACCTCAGGTCCTCTCCATGGCCACAGAGATAGCAGATAGAGGAGGTCTTTTGGGTTGACCGTGGCTTTGTGGAGAGAACCCATCACCATTTCTGGAGATGTCACAGCATCCTACGTGTCCCACAAGCCTTCTCCAGATGCCTCCAGGGTCTTGCAGATGAGTCACTGCTTGTGCTGACTCAGCCAAGTGATGTTTCAGGACAGCTCAGCGTGTTATTCAGCATTTGTTCATGGAATGTTTCTCCTCAAGCTGGTTGCCAATGAGTGTACTCAATAATAGGTTTAAAAAGTGGTTTTTAAATGCAACGAGCTGTGTGGGAGCAGCTCCACAGCTTGCCCGTGGCCCTGTGTGCGTGAAGCTGTGGGTACAAAAATGATCTTCACTGGGTTGTGGAGGTCAGCAGCGCCCATAAGAGCATCAGGTTTGGGCAAAAAGTGGCGTGCAAGCTCCTCTGGTGTGAAGTAAGAAATGCTCTGACTGGAGCTGCCTTCCCCTTCTGGAGCTGGAGCCTTTCTCCTGCCTCTCCTTGCTGCAGCCACCTCTCCCCTGCACTTTCCCTTTAGCCACATCCCTCGTCTGGCGCTGGGTGACATCTCCCCACCTGTGAGTACCGCTGCACCCCTTTACTCTGTGCTGGAGAGCCCCCTGAGGGCAAATCCCCCCCCAGGGAGGGTCTCAGCCAGGGAGGGAATGGTTAATCTCCTGAAGCGATGAACCCTGGTGGGCTTTTTTTTTTTTTTTTTTTTTTCCTTTTTCTGCAATAATGAGAAGTGGAGTGTGCACATCGCAGTGTGATTATTACCTGTTTATTTTTTCATGAGGCTTCTCCACTGTGTGTCACTCTAGTGTCATCATCCGTAAACACATTGATTTAACCATTACTTTGGAACAGCACTCGCCTGCTCCGCAGACTGGATACCTGTCCCCTGGGGGTGCCGGCAGTGACGAAGCGGGCTCAGAGCTCATCCTCGGGCTCTGCTGCTTCACTCCCCCTGCAGCACTCCTTCTCTCCTCTTCTTTGCTCTCCATTCAGCTCGTGCTCCACCTTCTGCTCCTATTCAGCTCTCCGTCCCCTTCCCTTCTGCCACCTACACTCAGAGGTGGCCACCAGCCCCGTCTGCTGCCCCAGCCTCGTGCTTTGCAGGTGCAGCAGCATCTCAGAGCAGCCTGCTGCATATCAGAGGGCACCACATGATGAACAGTGCCCGGTGGTCCCACCTTTAGGGTGGGCTTCACCTCGCCCTCCTCCAAAGCTGTGTGAGCAACCCAACCTGGACCTCCTGCATTGGCTAAGGAGAGAGCAGTCCCTGCTTGGGATATCCTAAGAGGGTGCCCCAGGGAGGTCCCTGGAGCATTGTTCTCCCTGGGTAACAATCGGGCAGTGGCCTATGGAGCACCTGGGCACTGGTCTGCCCTCAGAGTCAGCCTGGGCTGGGCCTCAGGTACCATTATAAGGCTGAAATACACCCACCATGGGTTGGGAGAGCTGGGAAGAGCTCCCAGAAACGGAGCGAGTATCACTGCCTGCTCCAAGCCACGAGAGGGACCTTCCTCTGTTTTCCTACCTGTAAAACCCACCCCAAGGAAAGGGCGTTTTCCCCAGGCAGCTCGTAAGTCAGAGACCAGCCTACGGTGGAGGGCTGGCTGGTGGGGCTCTTATATCTTGCATGTTGCCACGGGCACTGCAGAGGACCACATCCAGACCTTTGCGCCCACAGTGAACACGAAAGGACTAGATCCACACGACCATGGGACAGACAAAATTGCTGCCTGAGCTGAAGACCAGCCCTCTCTGGGTTTTGGGGTTCAAGGCAGTGTTTCTTTACACAGTGAATGCACTCCTTCTCCTCTCGTTCAGTGCCGTTTGGGTCTCTCGGGCTTGGAGCCAGTGCTGGCTGTCCTTGGTGCCAGCGTGGTGCAGAGGGAAAGCCTCAGGGGACACTGGAAGTATTTCGTTTTATTTTTGTGACTTCCTCAAAGAAACACAGAGAGAGTTGAGAAAAAAAAAATGGGGGAAAAACCTTTGAACTTGAGCCTTTTAAGTAATTTTTGATTATTTCATTTATTTTTTTTCCCTTTTTGATTCTTTTTCCCTGTTCTGATCCTCATGGCAGACAG